TTTACAAGCTCCTGTTCTCAACTATACTTAGGAACATGGTATACTATTCTAAACTATACTTATATAAGTAGTAGGGTTTTAGCTTCACGGCGCTTCCCATAAGGGCAGTTAGAGGTCTTAGCGATGGCGACGTATCCTATATTATATATATAATATAATAAATATATGTATAATAATATATGTATGTATTGTTTACATATATATATTGAGAGATTGATAGATATATCGGTTTCCATTACTTTTATTATTGTGACATGTCGATAGAGAGTGGGTACCTTTCCAGGTAAAGAAATATTGGACGTGAAAATGCTGAATTTATTACAAGTTTGTCTCTATTTATTATAAAGGAAAGATGGCGCCCTCTATTTCCTTTCCCTTCCGAGAATATGCTGGAAAATCCGCCTGAACTGTAACCCGCAGACCTTGCACCTGAGGGCGCCCTCCTTGGCCTCAGCGGAGGACCCTCGCTTCCAACGCCTCCCTCCGCCGACACCTCTTCAGGGCAGCCAGCCTCTGCCTGTGAACCACCACGTGTTTCACCAAGTGAGCCTTTTGCACGAAGAACTTCCTGCAGACGCCGCATCCGAAGGGCTTCTCGTTGGTGTGCAAGAGCGAGTGGCGAAGGAGGTTTCCCTTCTGACTGAAGCGCCTGCCGCAGGTGTCGCATCCGAAGGGCCTCACCTCCGCGTGGACATTCTTGTGAATGAACAGATGACCCTGTTGGCCGAACACTTTGCCGCACACTTGGCACTTGAAGGAGCTTTGGGCGGTGGCTTGGGACTTGCGACTCATCCTGGAATCTGGGAAACAACTGATGGCTTTCTGTCTGATCTGAAGGTTATATAGGGAGCCTTCACGTGACCTTGAAGAGTGGGAACGCGGCCTGGAATAAGGCACTGTGAAGGGGACGCGGTCTGGTTAGAAAGAAGTAATCAACCATAACAGATATACCTTTCCTTCTAAAGAATGAGAATGTTTAAAATAGCGAAGCAAACCAAATTCTTTTCGTGAAAATCTTAGAATGCCGACTATAAACGCTTTTTCTTCCTCTTTGTTATTCAATTGTGGTTTCCACCTTGTCTCATGTAGCATGTTCTCTTGTAGTAAAATTGCCAAGAAAAGAAAAATATTTTGATGGTTCATCGTATCCCCCCGGCAGAATCGATATATATATATATATATATATATATATATATATAATATATATATATAATGGGAAAATATTCGTTGCGCCATAACTAATAAAACTCATGCGGCACAAAATTGAGTTTTTGGAAGTTAATGGTCGACTTCACACTTTCTAACAAAAATTGCAAATTTTCTTTTACAGCTTTTAGACCTTTATTTCTGCTATACCCATGTGTTCAGGCATACGCAACAGACTCAAAATGTCAGTTTCGTGTGTTCTTACTAAGATATAATGCTATAATTGTTTTAATGAGAACTGCAAAACAATCTATTGAGCAATATTCAGTAAAGTGTCCACTACATAATGTGCTTATACATGCACTATCCATACCGTATACAGTTAAAAGTGGTGATTTAGTTCTAATCATAATAAGATTACAGAGGATTAGGGACACAATAGCAATGTTAATTATCATAGAGGCTTGCGACTGACACCGTGTAATTCAATTTTAATTTATTTTTGTTTCCATGAAGCTGATTATGAAGGACTCGGTACATACGCTATATTTCTTATAAATTGTTTGCTTCTGTGATTTTCAACTTTATAAATAGATTTACGATTTGATGCTTCAATTTCACGGGTAAATTACGCTTTGAAAAGAATGACACTTGAGAGTAGATATAAAATGATTGAAACGCTGGATTATCACCTTTACCTGTCAGTACTGATAAGAAATATATATGAATGTCACACATGTCGTTTGTCTGAAGTTATTCATACCTTCCCCTCAAAATTAAGAATTGATTGTGTTTAAACAACTAAAAAGAGTACTTAATTTTATCAAGGTTCTTATTCAAACTGACCTACATTGTTAATATCGACCAAAATCCGTGATCTTTATCTTTTATGGAGAGAGAAAAAAGAAGGGAGGGAGAGAGGGAAGGAGGGAGTAGATCCCAACGCCATGAGCAGTGTCCATGGGTTAACTGCCTTTCAGCTCAATTCTTTTCTCAGAGGGAACTCCCACACTTCAGAAGATCGTCTGTAGATTAGATATGCATTATACCAGTCTGGAATATATGTGATCTTATAAGAAATCGCCCAGATTTATTACACTTTAGCAGTGCATCTTGCTATATCATATCAATATATCATATACGTTAGTTTGCAAGATCAGGCATCGGCAATGTACATTACTTGCGATATTGTCCGTCATTCTTATGCAAAACTGAGCAAATAAGTTTAAAAATGAAATGTGTAATTGATAATAGTTAATATGAAATTCATTTTATTTAATACTTTTCCACTGGCATATCAACTAGGTCTTGTCCAACGCATTTATCACAAAGGAGAGATGGGGTACTCCGCGTCCTATTTGTCGACCCTTCCGAGGATATGCTGGGCCTTCAGGTGTTCCATCAGCTGGAAAATCCGCCTGAACTGTAATCCGCAGACCTTGCACCTGAGGGCGCCCTCCTTGGCCTCAGCGGAGGACCCTCGCTCCAACGCCTCCCTCCGCCGACACCTCTTCAGGGCAGCCAGCCTCTGCCTGTGAACCACCACGTGTTTCACCAAGTGAGCCTTTTGCACGAAGAACTTCCTGCAGACGCCGCATCCGAAGGGCTTCTCGTTGGTGTGCAAGAGCGAGTGGCGAAGGAGGTTTCCCTTCTGACTGAAGCGCCTGCCGCAGGTGTCGCATCCGAAGGGCCTCACCTCCGCGTGGACATTCTTGTGAATGAACAGATGACCCTGTTGGCCGAACACTTTGCCGCACACTTGGCACTTGAAGGACCTTTGGGCGGTGGCTTGGGACTTGCGACTCATCCTGGAATCTGGGAAACAACTGATGGCTTTCTGTCTGATCTGAAGGTTATATAGGGAGCCTTCACGTGACCTTGAAGAGTGGGAACGCGGCCTAGAATAAGGCACTGTTAGAAAAAACGGGAACGCGGTCTGGAATTCGGTCTAATTCTTAAAAAAATATTCATCAGTTACATCCGTAAGAAATAATAGTTTTAAAATGTGAAAATAAGGTTTTCATTTCGTTCTTAGCTTTGCAATCTCATCACACCTGTTCCTTATCATGATTCATATGTTATCGAGGCAAGAGTGAAAATCACTTTTCCTCAGCAGCACACAAAAATAATAGATTTTCCATGAGCAAATAAATAACTGAAGCTTTAAAAAAGAGATCGGGGTGAATAATCGTCGTTGAGAGGAGAAAATATAGCAGAGTTTAAAAAAGCCAAAAAAAAACTGTTTTCTTTCGTTCTTACAACGTTAGAATCTTGCAACGTGCCGGGCGTAAACCATACTCTTGCTTAAAAAGAAACACCCAGTTTCTCTTACCTTTCTGTACACACTGGGTGTTTGTGTTCACTTTTTACTCTTCACATTTCTACTTCTGTTTCCGGTTTTTCAATGTTTCATGTTCTTCTGTGGCAAACGTGACAAGCCGCAGAGTATGTTATTATATAGCGTATCATGCTTCCCCGACAGCGCAAAAATAACAATGGATTTCCAAGAACAATAAGTAAATGGAACAGTGGCAGTCAGGAGTGGATCAAATTCAATTGCATTTGTATCTGATTGCATTAAATACAATTTAAAGCGTTTGTATTTTGGGATCGAGAGGAAAGATACTTTGTATTTTGTATTTCGAGTCCATACTAGTCGAGCAGGACAAGCATTAAGGAGAGAGAGAGACTGAGATAGATAGATAGAGAGAGAGATAAATATAGAGTTAAATAATTAACCGATGGATCGCGCTCTAACCCCTGTCATGTACAGTCGTCCGGATTTAAATCGCATATCACTCCCGTCTGATATATGTACTATATATAATACATATAGCAAATGATATATGTACCATATATCATATGATATAAGTACCATATATATATCATATTTAAATGATTTGAGTATCATATATATATTATAGTATATATATCATATATTATATGATTTGAGTATCATATATAAAGTATATAATATATATATTATATGATTTATGTATCATATATATATCATATATTAACGATATGAGTATCATATATATATCATATGTTATATGAATATAATTATATCTCTATCATATATCATAATATCTCTATATATCTCAATATATCTCTATATATACATATATCTATAATATATCATATAAGTATCATATATATAGATGTATGATTTTTTCTTTTGACCATTTATTATCTCTTCTGCTGTCTTCCCTACTTATTTTCCTCCCCTTCCCGAGAGCATGTTGGACTTCAGCCGTTCCATCATCTTGCATTTGTACAAGATCTCTTATGCGAGAATTTGCCTGTGACTTTTGTCGTAAATACTGATAGTTTAATGTAAGATCATGAATTAGCTATACTGGTATAGTTAATCGAGAGCTAATAGTATTGCAGCATAGTTTCGTTTTTTCTGCAAAAAAGAGTAAATGAAAATGAAATGTGTAAGTGATAAACGGTTCATTTGAAACTATTTTATTTAACTTTTTTTCCACTGGCATATCTTTTAGCTCTTGTCCAACGCATGTCACAAAGGAGAGATGCGCACTATTTCCCTTCCCTTCCGAGAATATGCTGGGCCTTCAGGTGTTCCATCAGCTGGAAAATCCGCCTGAACTGTAATCCGCAGACCTTGCACCTGAGGGCGCCCTCCTTGGCCTCAGCGGAGGACCCTCGCTCCAACGCCTCCTCCGCCGACACCTCTTCAGGGCAGCCAGCCTCTGCCTGTGAACCACCACGTGTTTCACCAAGTGAGCCTTTTGCACGAAGAACTTCCTGCAGACGCCGCATCCGAAGGGCTTCTCGTTGGTGTGCAAGAGCGAGTGGCGAAGGAGGTTTCCCTTCTGACTGAAGCGCCTGCCGCAGGTGTCGCATCCGAAGGGCCTCACCTCCGCGTGGACATTCTTGTGAATGAAGAGATGACCCTGTTGGCCGAACACTTTGCCGCACACTTGGCACTTGAAGGAACTTTGGGCGGTGGCTTGGGACTTGCGACTCATCCTGGAATCTGGGAAACAACTGATGGCTTTCTGTCTGATCTGAAAGTTATATAGGGAGCCTTCACGTGACCTTGAAGAGTGGAAACGTGGCCTGGAATAAGGCACTGTGAAAGGAACTCGTTCTTGCTAGGAAAAATAATATACTTCCCAGTTATATTTTTTCCTAAGGAGAGATGAAATATAAATAACAGATTTCCATGAGTAATAAATAACTGAAGCTTTTAAAGACAGAAAAAGGGTGTGAATAAAAACATCGTTGAGAGGAGAAAATAAAGAATGAAGATAACGACAAATAAAGATAATAATGAAGATAACGACAATAAAGATAATGATAGCGACAATAAAGATAATAATGATAAAGAAAAAAAATAATAATAGACAATAAAGATAATGATAACAATAAAGATAATAGATTGCCGGAGCTGACTGGTAAACGGGCAGTTTTTAACTTCCGAAGAGCAAAATAATAATAATAAAATAATAATAAATAAAAAAGAAAACTTCCGGGCATTAACGACCATGAAATGCAATTCTGACATACAAACTCGTGTGATGAGAAGCATTTGCATCTAATCTTACATAATTTCAGAAGTATTTTTATTTGTACTTTTTAATCAGAACGATGATAACTATAAGATATAATGATAACAGTAAATATGATAATAAAAAAACGGATAAATACAAGATGATGAGAGCGATAAATAATAATGGTTTAATAATTATAGTGTTAATGACGCTGCCGGGCATCCTAACTATAATAATTTAGAATAATGATGTCACGTTAATTGGTTAAAATGATTACCATTCAATCCCGTACTCTCCCAGTGGATGGTAACCTCGGCCATTCCTTGCACAAAAGGGGAGATTTAGAAGCAAAATAAAACTGATAAATAAGATTTAGAAAAAATTAATAAAGATTTAGAAGCAAATAAAACGGATTATGTCACAGCAAAGAATATCCACCGTGACACATGGAATTTAAACTAAATCTTTAAATCTTTTAGACTCCTCTTTCCTCTGACAGACGAGTCCGTAAGAACACCGCGTGCGTTCTCCGTGGCAACAACGACGAAGAAAACACTCCAGGAGAGAACACCTTCATGAGCGAGGCTGCAGGAGGGTACGAGCGAGCAGAGGAACGTATTTCTCGGTTTCTTTTTTCCTTTTCCAGGGCATATACCTGAAGGAGATAGAGAGAGAGAGAGGGAGAGGGAGGAGTGAGAGAGAGAAAGAGTGGAAATACATTTTACAAAACAAAATGATAAAACTTTTGTAAAGAAGCCGTCGTGTCACCTGACTCCCGTGACCTGTTTGTTCCTTATGCCAATGGCCAGACTGTGACCTTGAACAGTTTGAAAATAGCAGATGTAAATCCTCGTCGTAATTTATGTATTATTACTGATATTTTTTTAATGATTCGATTATGCCTGCATCATCCACGTGTACCTCCATGTTGCTTGTCACTGACCGGAGGAATATCCATGGTACATAGCACATGGTTTACAGTGGCTGTATGTCTATTTCTCTCGAGATTTAAATACATTCCTTGCAGGTTTTTGTCCGTGTTGACTGTATGATTTTTGCATCCTGTATTCGACAGTTAGTTCGTAGAAATAAGAACCATGATAAAGACACGTTTTCCTTGAGTTGTTTAAAGCAATAAATTCTTAAACAAGACCGGAAGCTACAATAGTTTCCAAGGCACCAGTAGCCATTCTGATAAAATTCGAAATAATAATTAACTTTAAAATCAGTTTTCATTTGTGAATATGTACACGTGCATGGTGATACATACGTTCGTGTGTGTGCTCATTTACTCTATATACTTTATAAAATGTTGAAGTGACGTCACTTTCTTCAAGACGGTATTCAAGATAAGAACGGCATTTATTACTTACACACGTCAAAAGCTCTGTCGGTACGTCTTACCATGTAATACTTTGTAACAGCTTTCTCAAATGACCTAACCTCATTTGACAAAAAATTCTGTTCGCTTTTATGAAATTACTGTCATGATACTCAGTGAAAATATTTTATGCCAAATTAACCACCCATCTCATATTGTCAGGAAAGGCTTAAAGATGAAATCCATAAGAATTTCGAAACTGTTCTCACTTTTCAATACATCAAGTCTGTGTACAGTGTTTTTTTTTTCTATACTGCCAGGAAAGCAGAAATTCCTCAATTCCGTGTTTGTGATGGGAATGAAATTCAGTTTGTATTCCAAACACTGGACCGAACAGTCAGAAGGGGACTGAGTTCATGGTACAGAGAACAGCATTCTAAAAGTTTTTTTCCATTTGACTGTCTTTTTTATTTTTATGTACAGTAGTAACTTCGACATTTGCTGTATCTCCCA